TTATCATATTCTGCCCTGGACAATTGGTAGATTATATAATAATACACACAACAAAGACAAAGGCACAAGTGACCTCCTGCTGTAAGGGAAAATTAATGCTTAACAAGTGCTCAAGGACAGAAGCGCGCATTTGTGCACCACACTCTTTTACTGTTGCTAGTATTACAATTCCCTCCCTCAATTAAGCATTGACTTTTCATTACCAGTACAAAGGCAAGAATAAAGCAAGAGCATATGGCACTTGATGGTAGAGCAGTTGTTATAAAATTTCATTTCACAGCTCGTACACAACAGTTAAGCTTGGGTAATCTATAGATTCATCTCCAAACAAGTCTCATGATTTTTCATATACAGGTTTATATGGAAAAGGACCTGAAACTTTTATTAAATTGTTTAAATATAACATCCTTTCAAAACCTTTTCCCTGGCACCCAGCTGCTGCATTTCTGGAAATGAACAAACCAAACAAGAACAAAAAAAACCAGGAATTGTTGGCTAGATGCCAGCTCCCTAGCAGCCATGAAAGCCTTTTATCACACACAGCCCAGTGACACTGATGTGTTAGTGAACAGGAGTATACGTATCAGAACAATAAGTGTGTGACAATCTGGGAGGTACAGAAACAAAATTCTCACCTTTATGTCAGCAAAAGCAGTAACAGAAAACTAAGGAGTGATTTTCTGTAAAATGGCCTAATAACCACATTATAGTTACATGTGAAGAGACCCATTAACCCATACAAAATTGCAACTATGAGTTCTACATTTGCATATGAACTGAAACAGTTAGGAAATAGCTATATTTAATTGTAACTACAATGAGGCAGAAAAATATTTCAACATTTGTTTTCCCAATACCACCTGGCAGACAGGCATATAGTTAAGTGCATTTGCTGGAAGCACTTATGCTTTGCTCTGAAAAACAGCCTTAATGAATTGCTAACATTGCCAAGTTCAGTCTGCATCTTTCAGTGCAAAGAGAGAGGCTAAGGAAGGAAGAAGTAGTTTCTTGAGCTTTTCTACCATTTGAAATCTAGTCTGGAAATGCCTGCTTAATTGGGAGGATTGACCGTCACTTCCATGACACCTGAAAATTGAACTTGCTATTTATTCAATTTCAGAAATGTCTTGATGAACTATGTCAGAAAATAATCTCCATCAGCAATATCCACATGGAGAAGACTGCCCTCAGCTTCTCCCTTCAGTTTTTTGGTGCAGGATTTCAAACAAATTCTTCAAGGCCCCTCCACCACATGTGCTCTTGTTGCCCTGATGTGGGTGAAATGAGCACTCCTTATCAACAGAGAAGTCAAGTCTTCTGCTGATGTTAGACAGAGATGATGAACATGTGTATGCCTCATGCAAATTTTGTTAAGTGAACTGCAGCTTCCATCCATAAAAGTTAATGAAAAAATCAGGTTCTGATGAAGTTCAGATGATAACTTCTATACAAGCAGAAATCTGGGAGGAAGAAAATTACTTTAAAGCCAACTGCTTTTCACAATGAGGCACATTCTTAATCCTCACTAACAGAAACATTTGGCCCTTATTTGAAAGGGCTGTCCTCATGCCTAATCAGACTGTCCATCCAATTCTACCATTGGGGATAGCAAGAATATTTTTGCTTAGTAGCAAACCTCAGCTGCAGTGTGGCAACGGTGTTCATTCTCTAATGATATTCCAGGTCAGTTCTCCTGTTATCTGTATACAGTTTTGCACTTTGCAACCTTCCTAAATCAGTGAACTGGTAAGACAGTGGAAGCAAGAGACACAACCATGATCCCATGCTGAACCACTGCTCACTGAGAAGATAGTTCTAGTAATATCTATTGAGCAACCAGTGGGCACAAAGGCATTGGAAACAAAATTTCTTCATGTAAACAATAAACAAATCTCTTTCAATTAACCAAATGCTGCTTGCATACAGCAGTGGAACTAAAAAGCAGTACTGAAAGAAATTCAAAAGCATTATCACTGCTTAGTTTCAACAGCACTATCTGAACAATTAGCAGAACAATTAGAGGTACAGAAGTTCTCATTGTACATTTCACTTCCATCATGAAAGCCTTTTTTACTTCCTGACTCTAACTGTAAGAAATCTTACACTGGCTTTCTTGTCATCTACAGACAGTTTACTGTCCTTTGATGTACAGTTTTCTCCTTCTCTTGGCTTACTGGCTTTCAGTGAATAATGAATTTCTCATACTGTGGTCTGTTGTTTCCATGGCTGGGAAATGTACAGCTCTGTTTGGAAAATATAGTAATGCAGTTCATTGTGTTACTTCATGCGGCTGCTTAATTCAAGCTATTGTTTATTATTTTTTGCACGTAACTCTTGTGTTTACTGACAATCCAAAGGCAGCCCTAAAGTACTCTGGGTACAGCAATGCCCAGCCAGTACAGAACCAGGTAAAAATTAAAATAGTCTTTATGCCTTGGAACTGTATCTCCAAATGACTAACCTGGGTGGTCCTTTCTCTAGCTGATGCAGCAGTAAGAATTGGGTAAATCAATCACAGGAACAAATGGGAAGGATGGGAAGAATGCGAGGGCACAAAAAAAACCTCTTCAGTGGTTTCTGCTCAATTTTTATCTGGCTGCTGCACACACAGAAGCATTCTTACAGCTATTTCCTTCATTTCTCTCAGAAATCTGCATCAAAATGTTGCTTGTACGTAGCAAGTAATAGCTCTAGCCAATAAACATGCAGAAAGAGCAAGGACTGTAGGAATTCAGGACTACTGAGGAAAATTCTAATCCAACTCAATTTGGCAGCACAAATCTCTTACATAACTTGTGAACTAGAGGACAGTCTGATCATCTGGGAACATTGATTTGTTCTTCTCAAGACATTAAACAAAAGTGGCAACTTTCCATAACAGATTTTCCTTTGCTTTTCAAGGCATGATGTTGCAAGAAAGGCATCAAATGTTAATGAGACATTTCTAATATAATAAAAAAATGTTTTTATATGACAAATCAATTATACTGGAGTGGTATACAAATTTAAACCATAATGCAGAGAGGCAGAACAGGGCCTGAGATACAAACTTATAGTAGTAGGTCTCCAAAACTATGATTTCTGAAGGAAAAGGGCATTTCTGAAAGCTGACTACTTACATCAGAACATCTTACACAGACCTCAGGAACTGAACCTCTCATGAGAGTAAAAAAAGTCTGAAAGACCCCAAGCACGTGCAAACCACCAGAACGGGCACCATCTGTAACCACTTTAAAAAATAAATAAATAAATAAAACCTCTGTCCTTTTTCCACCTGAGATACACTGTAACAAGCAAAAACAGCTGCCCAGCAATAGGGCATAAAAGCTCCATTCATAAACCAATTGTCAACAAAGAATCATATTATTTATATGTTACAAAATGCAGTACACATTTACTGAATATCAATATTTACAGCATGAAATAACCCTGAACTGATACAATGCATTCAAGAATTACAACCAGTCATATTTTTGAAATAAAGATGCTGGAAAACATTAAGAAAGCAAGAAAAACTTTATATACAGAATGGCAAAACCAATCTTATAAAACAAATGCACAAAGAATGAAGAGTTTGCAGAATATCAGATCTTTCACTTGAAATCACCTCTAATAAGACTGATCAAAAAGCTGAAGGTGAAGGCTAAGTTGGAAAGTTAAGTTGATGAAAATTGTCCAACTCAATTAAGGAAGGAGGAAAAAAAAGTAGTATGTATCTATATATCCATTTTATCTTCTAAAAAAAACCACAGGAACTCCTACCAATGACTTACAGAGTATCTTAAAAATCCCCAAACCATCTTACCTGTGATTTTTAGATTTCCTTCCATAAATGTGGGAGTTTTTGCAATTGTTTTAAAATACCACTTCCTACCACAAGAAGTGACTTGCATAGATGTCCAGTTACATTCCCCCAGTTAATCCTTTCACATGGTTAGAATTACTTGGTTTACAACCTTCACTTCTAATAGTCTTCATACCTCTAATGCAATACTGCCAGTGCAGTAAGTGATACCAATTGCACAGAAAATATCCTACAGCTGTAGAGGACAAAAAAGAGGCAGAAAACAAGTACTTTCAAGCGAGATCCTTCAGCACAACTGCCTTACATAAATCCAGTAGGCAGTTAACCAAATCCAGTCACCTAACCACAAATTACTGTTTCCAGCATGACAGGAAAGATGTTCTCTAGAACATACATTCAGCACTAACCATGGTCTCATTTGGACCTCTTAACGGTTGCCAGGGCATTATAGAATTGTTGTTACATAGGACAACGATCCATACATAATAAACTACTTGGTTTTCACAGCTACCTCATAATTTGTTTGTTAAATGGTTGAAATGTTTTTACAATTGTACTGAGAAGCACTTGCTGCAAAGCATGAAGTCCATTATAGACATTTTTTCATCTGTACAAGGAATGTGCCACAGTGATGTACACTGACATTAGAATTGGTGTTACTGTACGAGCTATTCCATGCACTTTCTGTTCAGTTTTTCACATTAACACACAGAAAGAACAGCGACTGTTCAGTCTCTATCACACATACAGTTATCTCTGTAGTAGATAACAGAACAGAAGGAAATTTAAACTAGCAAATCTATTCACAGGGAAATTCCTATTGATATTTTCTCTGTTATGGTTGAAAATAAGTTGCAAAGCTGTAAGAATTTGCTAAGAATAGATGGCAAGAGGAATAAACAAAAAGGTCTAGTTAAAATCCTACCATGAATTGAAATTATTATTCTTTGTAAGAGAATTTGTTTCTTACATAGAATTTACAAAAGGATGAAAGAAATGCAGCCTCACATGTTCACAGGTGCTTGCTTCAGTCTTATCTCCAAACAGTGATAAAGGGAAGGCAGCTTGTTTTGATCTTTCCATTTGACATTTATATAAACAATTACATCACAGAATTCAAGAGCCAGCTTCAAAACAAGCGTTTAGAAACCACACTAACTTAGGAAATAAGGAGACTGAGACCTGGCATGAGAAATTGATGCTCATTATTTTATTGCCTTGGGCCACCAGATGCCGTATCCAAAATCTACTTAGGATTTGACAGGGGAATAGCTAATCAATCTTACTCTGCCAGTTCTTACTTTTGCAGCAACACACTGCATTTCAGTAGTTTAACAGCTTGCGATTCAACAAACCCTACTGTTGGATCAGAACAATAGAATTAAGCTCTGAAAATGAGCACTTCAAAGTGCAGGACATAATGGTTAGGGATGAGTAAAAATATAAATACCTATAAGCACAGACTAATTAACGATAGTACTCTAAAGACGTGATATAAGCTCATATTTTATGTACCTGTTAAGTATTACCACCAGACAAGCAGAAGATTCAAGACAGGACAACAGAACAATAAGTGCTAATCTCAAGGATGATAGTATGATAGTAACACAGTTTCAACCTACCATTTTGAGCTGTATCAGCTGCTGCAAACCATTACCTTTAAATATTAACATTAGCGCTGGAACAACAAAAATCAAATATCGTGTTCATTTCTACAGAAACAGCCAGGCTGTCTTCTCCCCTAAACTCATTCCAAGTAAGTGTATTATCTTCCAGAAAGTAATATTCATCAACAATATTGGACAAAGGTAAATGTACAAAGATGCAGAAGTCAGAAGTTCATGAAAAACTGATCAATGTAATTAGACAGAAGTTTGCTTGTAGTTCTTCGTATCCAAGACCTTCTTGCCACACATTGAGCAGATGCCTACAAACACACAAAAGGTGTGTGAATTATTAAACAACCATTATCCTTTCTTCAAAAACATAGTTAATTTATTTTTTGTAAGGATAATTTTCAAGAAATCGTTAAAGATTTCTAATTGACAATCTACCTGTGTATCTCCTCACCAGATATTGCACATTCAGAAGTAGTAATACAATTTTTAACACTAATTAATATTTGCAGTATACATGTAATACTTCTACTTAAAAAATCAACTCTGAGAGCATTATGATTTGCACAGCACCTGAAGCCTCTAATTTGCTGAACTACTGAAGGACAGGCAGGAAAGGATCCCATGGGTAAAAAAAAACATGTTACCAAACTTTATAATTCCCATAGCCTGAGATGGACAGAAGGTAGCTAGGCTAAGGAAATACAGGCACCAAAAAACTGATTGCTAAATGAAAGATCAACCAACAATTGAGAAAGTTGATAAGAATACAATTTCATAGAATTAAGCTAATTACAGAGTACTAGAGAGAAATATAATGGACACCAAGAATAGCTGAGAGTTGAAGTAAAGACAACTAATGACCCAGAAGACTTTGACCTAAACACAAAGAATAGCCAGCCAGAAGACTGGTGCAGCAAAAAGTACACAAGTTCGGCAGGGACAGAAAGGAGAGTTCCCTCAATGTTTCCCCCTTTTTCTAAAACAGAAAGGTACCAAATATTCTGTCCAGTAGGGCACATCTTGCTTTAAGAGATCATTCATCAGCAGACAAAAAAAATATATATTAACTGACAGCTATTTCTGTTGCCTCTCTACAAATCATGACTTTACATATAGGCTTCATTTGATTGGACATGCATCTAAAGAGTCCATTAAAAAAAGAGAACAATGGGGAACATGCTTTGTTATTTACTTTGGAGTTCAAAATCCATCCCATACGTGTTCACTCCAGATCTAAAGTGAGGAGAAACAAACTTTTTAGATAGTATCTAGATTTCAGAGACATGCAACAGTTGAGCCATCAAGACTGCAGCTGCTTCTAGAAATATGCTGCAATCTAGGCATCGTTGATGTTCAGAATTAGAACCTAACGTACTTGAAGCTTAACTTCTGATATTTTTGAGGTTTCTACCTGGAAGGATGCACAAGCAGACAAAGATAAAATCCTGATGCCCACCCAAAATGATGATAAATTTAAGAAATAACAAGGTTCTATCATATAGAATTCAGACAGCCATCTGGTGAGCATCTAGCAACGAGAAAAGGCAGCCCTCCTTTAGCAGACTGCTAAACCATGTACTCAGTGACACAGTGCGCGGCTGTAGAACAATTAACATCATTCCATAAACAAAACTCATTACTGTATTAGCTGTGACTCTACATCTAACAATTCGTCCACCCCATGTCTCTGTGCTAAGTGAATTCTTCAATATTAATAAGGTAACTGAGTTCATGTTGCTCTATTTTCCCCCCACGGATTACAAGTTTGAGCCCTTTTGCTTACCCTCTCATACTCACAAGACTGATAAAATTTTTTATTCTCCAGTAGAGATTTCATAAGGGTTCCGAGTCGCTGTTATTACAATGTTTGACCACCCTCGTAGTGAAAATTGATTTATTTATATGGACTTAAAGACTTCTACACTCTTCTCCATCACTGTGCACTGTGATGGAATCAGTGTCATGACTCTCTGACTCCATCTTTTCTACACCTTCACATTAGTAGTTAAAGACTGAATCTCATCACAGCCTTCTCTTTGCAATACAGAACAAACTCAAGAGCTCTACTTGTCTCTAATTTCAAAACAAAATGAGCTAATATGGTACTCAGTGAAACTCACCTTTTTTATAGGCACATCCTTGACAGTAGTGAGACCCAGGCTGATGGACAGAACTCTTACAAATACGACATATTGCAAATTTGTTCTTTCCATAAGGATCAAACCTGGAAAAAAAAGAAGTACTTTATTTATGCACACTGAAATAAAGTACTTCCTTCACCTCATACTAAAAGTGCTATGTGAAAGGACACAGACAGAAACTCCAGCAAAAACTATAATCAAGAAAAGGGACATAAAGAGGTCAACTCTAACAGACTACAGAATTTCTATAGAAAAACTCCTGCTTTCTCCATTATGAGAGATTTCTTGCATTACAGAGATAAAATTAATAAAAGCTGAACTAAAGCCATATATTTTTATTAAGATACAAGCCTATTTTGAACTCAAAATACATTCCAGCAATGGCTTGCCCCTGGCATAAGATAACAGAACACGCTTTAGACATTAAGGAGATGCTCAAGAGATTGAACAGGCAATCTTAGCATGGAAGATCACAGAATCATTTGAGTTGGAAGGGACCTTTAAATACTCTAATCCTCCTTCCACAAACAGGGACAGATGGCCTTTTCAGCTCCTCTCCTAACACAAACACCAATTCCTACCAATTTTAGGGATGCCTGCAGCAATACAGCTGCCCAGGCTCTGTAATTCCACATGAAAGCCTCCATGAAATACATTCAGACACACTTTCACCAAGGAATGACATGTTGTAACTCTCTCCAAAAAAATGAGGTGTATTTTGGACAAGTTTTGAGGAGTTACCCTGCTTTGTGAGAAAGTGAGGTCTCAGTTACAGAAAATTGCCTTTTTTTTTTAAGGTGAAATCAGGATCAAATACTAACCTTGCTTTCTTTGAGGTCAATGCCTTGTTTTCGTTCAGCTTTCGGCCACCGCTTTCTATAAAAAGAATACAAGCACACAGCAATACATTTCTACAGTTTGAAGCATACTGGAAAGAGCTCAGCTTCCAGCTGCCATACGTGTGCACGTGTGGTCTGAGTGAGGAGAAGCACACAGCACAGAGCATGGGTGGGCACTGTCTATCATCCTTCAATATGAGGGGAAAGATCACCACAGAAACACAGAATCATAGAATGGCTTGGGTTGGAAGGGACCCCAAGGACCATCAAGTTCCAACCCCCTGCCTCAGGCAGGGCCACCAACCTCCAGATCTGGTATGAGACCAGGCTGCCCAGGGCCCCATCCAACCTGGTGCTGGGAAGGGGCATCCACAGCCTCTCTGGGCAGCCTGTTCCAGCACCTTACTACTGGAAGTAGTAGTAAGTTCTGTGAAGAACTTCCCCCTGACATCCAATCTAAACCTTCCCTCCTTCAGCTTAAAACTATTCCCCCTCGTCCTATCACGATCTACTCAAGTAAAAAGCTGATTTCCATCCCCCCGTTTATGATCCCCTTTTAAATACGGGAAGGCTGCAGCGAGGTGGACAAGTTCAACGCCAGAAAGCTCAAGGCAAACAAACCTTCACCGCACTCACAGGAAACCGCAGCAGCCAACCCGCTAAGTACCGCGGCGCTGGGGCCGCGACAGCCGCGCACCTCGCTCAGACCCGCGGTGAACACCGCGCGACCGACGCTACCTGTGGTGTTTCTCGCCCCATCCTTCCACGTATCAGGAGTGATCACCGTGCCCAGCTTCCTCTCACCTGCGGAAAGAATAGAAACGATGAGAACCGCGCTGCCCGCCGCCCTCAGCCCCCTCCCGGTGCCGGGGACCCCCCCGAGCCCACCGCACTCACACTTCTCGCACACCATGGCGGCTCAGCACAACAGCCGCCTCTTCCGGACCCGCCCCGGAGCTGACGCCATCCCGTTGCCGGGCGGCCGGCGTCCCGTCTAAGGGCCGGCTGGGCCCTGCGCCTTGTGAAGGCCACGAAAAAAAGAGCCCTTTTGGCCCCCTGAGCGCCCTCAGCGCCGCTCGCCGCGATGAGGGAGGCGGAGCTGAGGAAGCTGCTGGCTGCCAACCTGCTCTGCGCCGTCTCCATCGTCCTGACGGCGCTCGTGCCTGCTTTGTTTCTGGACGGGTTCTCGGTTTTGGGCACGCACCTCACGTGGCTGTGTGTTTGTTCTGTTTGTGTTAGCGTCCTTAACGTAACCTTGTGTTTAATCCTCAAGCCAAATCCGTCTTCTAAGAGAAGCTCGCTGTCTAACAAGGTAAGATTTGGTTTTTTTTCTTTTTTCTTAGATTCCTACCGAGTGATGTAGGAGAGGATGTGAAGCCTGTCACTGAAATGATGGGGTGGGAAAGAATTTACAGCTTTTGGTGGTGAATTCTTGTTTTCCATGAGTGAGCACGTGCTGAAGCTGTTGCAGAGTTTAACTCTGGACCTGCCAGCAGCCCGCTGGGGTGAGCCATCCCTGCCACTTGTTGCCCACGGGTTGTGGTTTGTAGCCACGAGACAACACTGACCACCAGCAGTTTGCCTGCTGGCAGGATTCGGGGCACACCAGAGTGGGCACAAAAGTCACTTCACCTTCTAGGCCTGGCCTTCAGTATTGCTAAGAGATGCTTCAGTCTTGTGTTGTTTCTCATGTGTAGGATTTGAGATGGAAAAGAGAGAAAAGCTCGTTACTACTTAAAGTTGATGAGGCAGTGACAGCTGCCCAAAGAAGCTGTGATGCCCCATCCCTGGAGGTGTCAAGGCCAGGTTGGATGGGGCCTTGGGCAGCCTGAGCTGGTGGGGAGCAGCCCTGCCCATAGCAGGGGGTTGGAACTGGGTGGGCTTTGAGGCCCACTCCAACATAAGCTATTCTATGATTCTCTGAAAGCTGGTAAACTTTCAAAAAGTGAAGTTGAAAAGCGTCAAAATGATTGCATTTCCTTGAATGACTAAATCTGCACACAGAAGAATCTGGGAGATTTTTTTTTGTAGTGACAGTTTGTAACAGGACCATAAAGGACACGGATCCCAGTATAACAGGTTAGAAGAGAGCAGGTTTGGAGTAAAACACAGCTGGATCAGGAGTGGTAGAATACAATTTGCAGTCAGCTTAGTCGTGCACTCCCACCAGCTGAGTCAGACAGTGCTCTTACAGTGATTCTTAAACAGTTAAGCAGTCATCCAAGAAAGTAGTGTCTTTGTATGTAAAACTGTTAACTGCTGACAGAGGGGATGTAAAATACTTGAAATCATCATGGAAAACAAGTCTTTTAACCATCTGTTATTTGAAAATGAAGCAGGCTTATGTGTTCTAGGTGAGGTTTCATCCCAGCCTAGCATAAATAATAAATATCGAAGAAGCAGTCAAGTGAGATACGGGTTTCCATTTGTGACCTGATCAGAACAGGCCTAGCCAGATATGTTTATCCAGTGTCCGTCCTTCTGTATGATATAGTGAGTACCCAGAAGCTGTCATTTAATTTCCTAGCCAGTTATATGTCTACAGATAGCCACAGACATTTGTCAAAGGGATTTAGCATGTACGATGCCAAGTTTCAAAACAGTGTGGCTTTAATTGCTTATAGTGTTAAATACCACTTTTGATTCTGAACGGCTTTTTTTCATATTATGTACTTTCTCACTTTGAAGTTTTTTAAACTTTCATTAAAAGGCAGCTTTCGCAGAATGTGAAACCATCTCTGGTTATATTGCCATTTCTAGTTATTTATAATTGTTTTATTATAATAAGATGGATGAATAAACGTTGGATGGAGTGAGTGTGGTCTTTTAATTCTTTGTTTAAAGGATACCTGTTTGAATACATACTGTGCTGTAGCTAAAATTGAATTTCTATAAAGAAAGAGTAGTTTGTGATGCTGTTGATTAGATGCATATAAGCTAAGTATGTTATTTATATTCTCTTTACTTTTGAAACATTATTCTGATATTTTATTGCTCTTTTTTAGATATCCAGATTTCTAAAATGCTGTATATACTTTTTCATGTCTTGCATACTATTTCATGCGATTATTGTTCTTTATGGAGCACCTCTCATAGAGTAAGTCAGAAGACCCTATTTTTCTCTAAACGCTTTAAGGGGGAGTTCTCCTAGCAGATATTGGTATAAATTCTTATATATTATTTGGTACATCGAAAGTTAAACAGTAAGCTCCTGGCTGGAGGAAGCAGGGTGGCTGTCTTTGTAGAAGTTGGCTCTTAGACTGTTATGTATTTGGAGATCTGTTCTGTGAGACACTTAAAAACAGCTTGTTTTACTTTAATATTTGTTCTGTGTAGGGGTACAACTATTTTCCATGTGTCACGTTTGTATGGGTGCAAACGCTTGCTAAGTTTTGTTTAATTATTTTTCTCCTAAGATTATAAAATAAGCATGTTGCATATCTTTCATCCTTTTGATATAAGTAAATTTTTAGCCATAATTAAATAAAGAAAATAGGAGAACGAGAAAGCAACCTGATTTCTGAGAGAGTTGACAAATTATGGACTAACAGTGGTGTTTGGTTTGATGGCTGCTTCCACAACATCAAACTAGAAAAATGAACCGAATAATGAAGTAAATTTCCAAGTATTCAAAACTGATGTTCTGTATGAGATAAACCTGTATTTAAAATGGTACAGATATCAGGGGCTAATAAACTACATTTCAGTCTTTGCTGAGGCAACAGATGATAGTGATTTTCTTCTACCTTTTTGAACTGTTGTAGAATAATAAGAAAAAGCTTTATTCTTATACATTAGGCTTAAGAAAGCACGTGTGCTTTCACAAGTTGATTGAGAATTTTTTTTTTCCTAAATCTTGGAACTCTTAGAAGATCAGTATTTATAACATCATTTTGTTATATTGCTTCTTTGTAGGTCAGTGACTGAGACATTTTTGTTTTCAGTTCTCCTGTCTACCTTTACTACTTTACAATGTTTATGTTTGCTGGGACCAAACATACAAGCTTGGATACGAGTATTCAGTAGAAATGGGTAAGTTCTGTTCTATTCTAATTTTCAACCAGGATAGAAATTGACTGAATTGATGTGAATATCATAGAATTATTGTTATTATTTTACTTTGGGGAGGGAAACTCTGAATTATGGGTGTTGTGTCACTTTTGTAATTACAAGCCTATGAAAGCTTTTCTGACAAAAATAGTGTTTATTTTGAAGACACTGGTTCAGAAAACTGACCTTTTACTTCTGGTATCCAGAGACTAAGCCTTACTTTATATGTTTTGGAGGAGGTAAAGTTTCAAATGAGCACTTTACTGGTGTGAAAGCATCCAATATAATGATTATAATAAAGAGGAGACTTGTCAGTGAGCTGTAGAGGAAGAATCTTACGCTTGATCCTATGTTAGCTCTATAAAAACAGTTCTTAGAGTAGGAATAGCAGCTAAAATGAGTATTATTTTAACAGTATTTTTAACTTAAATGTAATTGTGAAAATATATAATCTACCGTCATCTTAATTATGTAATCTTTACCCTTGTTCTTTTTCAAATTTAAAGAAAGCTTTCCTCAGTGTCAGGTTTCAAGCATTCTTTTTTTTTTTTTCAAGAGCACATTTAAATGAATGTAATTTTTTTTTTTTTTTTTGCCTTGTAAAAGCCATTACATTAGCATGGATAATATGTTCTCCAGAAGTATTCTCTCTCTTTTGCCTTTTTTCACATGCTAAATAACAGGACTGTTGAAAGGTTGGACTCTGAAACATAAGGAAGCTTCACATACACTTGAAGTTTAATAAGAGTTAGCGTTTGTTCCCTTACAACAGCTGATAAGGGTAAACTCTCATCTCAAAAGAAAACAAAAAGTTCTATCATCCCGCTGACTGAAGGGAATTACATTTAGTTACACTGCGTAGAGAAGATCAGAAATAAGAAATTGGAAACTGTTTATAGTAGTTTATATATTGGCTTTTGTTTTGTATCAGTTCTCAGCTTACTGAGAAGTATCTAAACCCTTATGCAGGTTGGTTATGCTTGGTTTTTATTTTCAGTGGAAGGGGTGAATAGGATAATAAAAATGATGGCTCACAAGAATTTAATGAAATCAGTGTTATATAGCCAAAACAAATCACTGCTGATTCACTTGTTGGTCTGTGGAAGTTCTGCAACTGGAGAGAATAGGTGAAATCAAGTAACAAGTGTTTGACAACTGCCTATCTTTATGCCAGGTTAGATTTTAAATGCACGTCTTTTTCTTTCCTAGTCCAGATCTTAATGTTATTTCAGCATAATTATTGCATAGGAAACAGGATTGTCTTGCTATGATGTTTTTATACATACTTGTTAGTTGGGAGCCGTATGACTTTATCTGATTAAATGTGCATTTAGTAACGATGTTTGGTTATGCAAGCCTTTGAATGAAAATAGATTATGGAGAAATATTGTAGTAAATTTTTTATGGGTTGTAGCAAGTTGCCCTTTTGAAAACAAGTCTGTGTTTTTTCACTTGACCTTATGAATGAGTTGCAAGTAACTTAGATGTTAACCGAGTGTAGGAATGATTTATTCAAAGGTTATATCCTGGCTTAACCACATGGAATGAGGTGGGACTGGTTGAATGGGGGAAAAGGGTGTTTAGGTAAGATCAGCATGGCTGTTTGCCTTGAAGGAAATTGAATTGCACTGGCACAACAAGCTGGAAAGTCTGAGTAGGAGTATAGTGTAGAATGAAGGAGGAATTGTTTAAGAAGTATGTGTACTACCTAGACTGAAGTAATCATTGACATTTATGCTTGTTGCTCTTGTTCGCAGTATTTGTAAGATTGAGATCTGCTGTGCCTTTGTCTTTACAGAAATGTAGGAGAGGGCATTTATAAAAAGAAAGTTTATCTTAATAAATCAAATGTAAACAAGTAATAGATTTTAATATTAATTAACCAGCTGTTGCTCTAGATAGTGTGAAATCTTTCTGCTATGTTAAGGTGGTGGTCATCTAGTGTGAAAATACTATTAGACCTAATATTTTCTTGGAAGCCTATTCATAAGATTACATCCAAGTAACTTGTGCTATGTAATCTATTGCATTGTAATAGCTATGGTGCAATTGAGTCATTCAGCATAAATATCGTGGAGGTAATCTTGCCAAGTGCTTATTTTTTTCTGCAGAGGTGCTTAGCTTTCTCTGCCTGCAATTGCAGCACTTCTAGAAAAGCAGTCACCTTGAGTAAAATCACTTTCAGTTAGAATTCAAGAAAGATCAGTCTAAGTCTGCTTGTCTGTAAGGGTCAGATTCTATGTGGCATTGCATGGTACTGTGTGATCTGTGGTTTGTTTGTTACATAAGGGTTGGGGGATGTTGGTGGGTCAGGCACAATGCAGAAAACAGTTACATGCAACACAGTTGTAGCTCAGATAGCTTAAAAACATGAAGTGTGTGGAAATTTTCTAAGTGGACTTTTTAAGCAATTAAATAAAGCAAGTGAAGTACAGAAGTGCTTTGTCCAGCTTTCATTTCTCCCATTTAATGATTTGTCAGTGTACTGCATACTCACAGATTTGGAAATGTCCTTTGTAAAGGTGGGCAGCAAACGAGTGTGCTGCTTTGTATTTCAGTCATGCCATGGTGCAGATTTCTTCATCTTGTCTATCCATGATCTATCTTAATACCTTATTTTATGTTAACTAACCTCTTAATTCAAATAATATTTAAAACAGTTCTCAACTTGAATTCTTATCATGAATAAGATTTGAAATGATCTGAGGTTTTAAAATGTTATTATGCCACTAATCATCATTTACCATCTTAAATATCACTAGTTTTGCCTGTAGAATGATTTCAGTTATAGTTTTCTCAGTAGTTTAAAAATACAGAAATGAAACTTGGTTTTCATATAAATACATGTAGATGTGTGTGTATATAAAGCTCATATATGTTGCTGCTCATACTAATGATTTATGTGGTGTGTTAATGACTACCTACAAAAATCCTGATAGCTGACACTCCATGCAGAGAATGAGTGATTAATGCATTGTTACTGCAGTATGCTGTTGGAGGACAAGTTACGCCAGGTTTGAGAGGCTTGTGCCCATACTTTGTCTGTGTGGATGAATTAGAAGTTCAAATTGTTGGCAAACTACCGAGAACTGCTCTTCACTTGGGCACTGTGCCTTGCTCGTTCTGTTATTTTGCTTTTGGACTCAATCTAGCATCCCCATATGGCACAGCAGTATGTGCTTACGTTTACCAGATAGGATGCCTTGTGTGATACAAATGTACCTCAGTCAGTCCTTAGTGTATTCTGCTGCCTCTTTCACTGCTTTAGGGCTGTAGCAAATGGTTTCCTCTCCACATTGGCTCACAGCTCAGTTATTCAGCTTCTGGAAATAATTTACAATTTTTGGTGAGAGACTAGTTTTTTTTTTTTTTTTTTTTTCCAAGTTACAAGAAGATAGAATTGTGTGCTCAAATCTAGTTTCTAAGTTACAGCAATGGGATTAGCATAGAATAAATAGGGTTGTTTCTGCCCCAAATGTCAGCATTACATTATGAATATTACAATCAGTATGACTTCTATTATGCAAGCAGTAGAAACTGTTTGTCCTACACTTACACATGGTTCCCTCAATATTGAATGCAGCAGTGAGTTATGTGTTTTAGACTTCTGAGTACTTTAGACTTTTCAAAACAAGGGTTAAAGCTTTCATGTCATGCAATCTAAGCATCACTTGTGAAGCTTGAGGTTTGCAGTTCATTTAGACTTTAGCTGTGAAGTGCCCATCGTTTTTCCTGCATTGGCTAAAGCTAGATTTGTGTTTATAATCTGAGATGGAGCAAATTTAAGGTTCAGGTTTTGTACCTTACTGATTTGAAGTAGGGATTTGAAGTCATGTCCCTCGGTACTATGCCCTGCAGTGTTATGAAATGTACAAAGAGCTCACAAGTCCGTGGCTTGAGGAAAGCAAGATAATCACTCAGTAAACTGATGATGGACAATAAGTACTTACCTAATAAACAGAAACCCAAATTTTCCAAAACTTTTGAAGTCACTGCTGGTAGGAGGCTCTAAACTGAGAACCAAAGTCACTAACATCCGTTGTCATACACGATATGTTTTGATTAGCTGTGCAAAAAGAATTTGCCAGCATGCAAGAAATTCTTCCTGCCTCCTGTGCAGTTGAACTTAGATGCATTGTGGCTTAAGAGGTGTAGCATGCAGTCTGTATTTACTTTGCAGTGTTTATTTTCATGTCATTCTAAACTGGTAACATTTGCGGCTGTTGAAATCCTGTAACACACTGTTTTTACAGAGCTATGTCCATCTGGGAAAACAGCCTACAGATTACTACAATGTGCAGTATATTAGGAGGTTGGTTTGGAGCATTTCCTATTCCTCTCGATTGGGATCGGCCCTGGCAGGTTAGTATCTGCATCTTTATTATAAATAAAAAATGTCTTCCAGATATAGAAGCTACTTAAAATTGCTCTGAAACTAAACAGATATATTGGATTGCAAGTTGTTTCTACAGGGTAGTGCCAGACATTTAAAGTATCATTGGAAGCACCTTTGCTTACAGTATAAGGATGTAAAGTGCACATTTTTTTACCTCCCTTTTTAAGATTTTTTGTTGTAGTTTTATGAGTATGTGCTGCATGCAAATTTTAATCACAAAATAGAGCTGTAAGAATTTTGATATGAATAACCTAAACAAGGAGAAAGAAAAATGTGAAATGATAAAGATTGCTCCAGGTTTGTCTACCTTCTGTCTGGTATCTTTTCTTTCTTATGAGCAGGGAAGAAATGATGCTCTCTCCCAGTGTTTTAGTTCTGTACAAGCACTTAACAGAATGCATTTAAAATAGATTTGAATTGACTTGTGGAAATGGTGTGGCCAAAGAACTGTAATACAGTCTTGACTTCTGATTTCAAAGGGAGGCAAGGATTAGCTTGTATTCGCACAATAAAAAATGCTGGCACTGCAGATTGTCTGTATAAATTCAAATGTCTGTGTTATTCTCTTCATATTTTGTTTGTCATGGAGAAATGATTACATAACAGTGAAAAACTGCATTTGCTATAAAATGATACTGGTATCAATTTGCTCTAAAGATCCTCAGTGGGTATTTTCTTTCCTCCAGTTAGCAAACTCAAGAACTCTCAGCTGCACAATCTTTATCAGGCCTGTTTGTAAGCAGACAGTTTCAAAGGTTTATTTCAGAAATCATATAACAGACAACGTGCTTTTCTTTCTGGTACTGCAGAGACATTGTGGCTTAGAGCTGCCATAAAAATTTGTCCTCCTAAAGTAGCTAGCAGCCTTATGCCATCAGCCGTCCTTTACACCAATGTAATGAGACATTAAAATTTCTATTTCAAAAATGATAGTAGAGGAGTAGGGTAATACTTTACATACAAAATGAAGTTTTCCTCTCTAAAACAGCTTGGATTTATTTTTTGCAAGATACCTGTGTGAGATTGATGGTAAAGTTGCTAGTTGTATTGGTAACTAGTTAATTGTTGGCTGACCTTCCCTGATACTGCCTAAAAGACAAGGAGTTCATCAAAATGCAATGCTATGTTCTTTTGCAGTGAGAGACAAGCAGTTCTTTTCTTACTCAGCTATGTTTAAATGGCATGTTGCATCTGGCAGGTTTTATTTTAAACTTGTGCTTGCACCAAAGATTTGTCACAGTGTCTTCACTCACTGGTATTTGTACATTGAATCAACCTATGTAACTGTTGATAAAAACTTGCATTTATGTAAGCATATAATGGCATGTTGTTCATGTCCCTGCTCTGTTGACATTTGTCTGAAAGAAGTTCTGAATGCTCTCTGTCTCTTCTTTCTTTGGCATAATTCACAGAAGTTACTCTAAGTGTTGCATTTCCTAGTATGGAACCTGATCTTGGGTGAAAATTGTGTGCATGAGTGTAGCAATTGGATAGATCAATATGATGGGAGGATCGGGACATAGGAAGGTGCTATAAGGGAAGAAGATTGCTTACCTGTATGAGAAGATTCCAGGTCAGCCCTTAAATGAAGTCTAAGAGAGGTGCAGGCTCCACCCCTTGTGGACGCACAGCTGAATTGCCTTCACCTGTGCTCCCAGGGGTGACCTGGTCCTTTCCCCAGCTGCTCGATCAGTGGTTCAGGCTGTGACTCAACAGTTCCCTTACAATGCATAATCATTCAGACCAATGCTTTTGGAAATTTAGAATTGGAGTTAAGCCCACATGCATGAGTTTTGGATGATACTTGGTAGCCTAATCATAATATTGAGTGCCATCCAATGCTTTAGAAACTCATATAGGGCTGATGGCAGAGGACCTAGAGGAAACACATCAGCTTTCAGAGCAGTAGCTGGAGAGGAAAGAGCATAGTAAGAATGACAGACACCTCATGTTTAGGCAAATGGATACCATCCACACATGTGACTAATCTCTTTTATGCTGGTGCAGATATATGCATGCATGTACACATGCACAAAATCTCAGAAGACACTAAGTTGCATGTATAAAAACTTTCTTTTATGCACCAGTGATATAAGAAAAACTTAATAAAAGTCAATAGGCTCTGATTAAGACTGATAACTTTAAGTCCATTTCATTTTTGATCTGTCCATTCCCACTGTCTCCCTGCTCTAAGAGACACAGGTTTGCTAATGATCAGCTTATTCTGTTTGAAAAGTCTTCAAAGTCATAGAAGCTGAACATAACAGACTTACTGAAGTTAAGATCTGGAATCTGTAAATCTAAAAATATATTATCTGACTCCTCAGAGCAGCAAAGAATTGGCAGAAGCTTCAAATATCATAACTTATCACTAGTTGTTTCTGGGGGCATGAATGCTCCCCACTCCTCCACTTTTTACCTTGTAGAATTTAAAATAATGGGGTGGGGGAAGAAATCTTAATTTCCATTTTGAATCTGAACTGCTTGATCATTAGTTGAATCATCACTTGAGTAATTCAAGAGGTCAGATGAATAGAGAAGTTTGCTTATCAGTTCTGCAGGCTGCCATTTCAACAGTCTTTGAAAACTGCAATTTTAGGTGGGTTTTTTATTTTCTTTTTTTTTAAGGATCTGCTTTGTAGGGAAAATTGAAAGAAGCTCTTTTTAAAAGCCTTTATATTTTATAGTTATACTGCAGTGAAGCATGAAAATGCTAACAAGTCTTCAAGGCAGGAGTGGATCTCCTTTAAGGTAGCTTTTTAGAGATCCTGTTCACAACTCTCAGAAGTTTGCAATTATCTATTTATTTATTTTAATGGTTTTGGTTTTATTGTTTGTTGGTTTTGGTTTTTTTTTATTTGTTTTTCCTGAACATGATCTCTTAAGTGTTGCTAACTAAAGGGGACAATTAAACTGTAACTGTCCTAGGCAGGTATTTTCAATAGCTGCCCAGGAATCACATCTTTTCAGTTCAGCCAAGTTGGCTGATTCATATTTATGAACCAGCTTCTCTAGAAACACTGTATTTCATACAAGAGTTTACACAACTTTTTTGTCTTTCTGTCCCCACTCAGTATGGATTCAACATCACAGGTATTGACTCGCATGTAGCAGCTGTGTGTTGCTGTCTTCAGAGCCAAGAGACATTTCTGTCATTCTTCAGAAATTATGTGTACTAGAAACAAAGTCCCTTTTTGGAATAGTATTCCTTTTGCTGCCTGATGGCAGGCAATTATGAAAGCTCATAGTAGATCCTCTCATAGTTGCAATGAAAGAGGAAAGGTGTTGTAAGTGTTACCTTTAGCCTAAGGCAGAGAATGGTGAATGGGCCTAATAAAATATTATAATATAGTTGTAAATCTACTTGCTTTATGAAGAAAATATTTAGTGCAGGTTGATTTCCTGATCATAAAAATATCTGTACATAACATAGTTATGGAAGAAGGTTCATTGGAGGAAAAAGAAAAGACATGAGCTGGGAGTGTTCTGTGCAGAATTGAATCCAACTGGCATGCTTACAGGAACACCTACAGATTAAGTCCTAGGCAAGGTGTGGAAAAAATCACATAGATATTAATGTAGGCTCAAGAGTACTTACAGTCCAGTCAAAACTCTGCTGGTGAGGCCTCACCCGGAGTACTGTATCCGGGTGTGGAGTCCTCAGTACAGGAGAGGTATGAACCTGTTGGAGTGTGTCCAGAGGAGGGTCACAAAAATGATCCAAGGGATGGGACACCCCTCCTACCAGGACAGATTGAGAGAGCTGGGGCTGTTCAGCCTGGAGAAGAGAATGCTCTGGGGAGACCTGATAGGGACTTTTCAGTATCTGAAGGGGGGCTTTGTGAAGAAAGGGGACAGACTGTTCAGTAGATTCTGTTGTGACAGGACAAGGGAAAATGGTTTCAAACTAAAAGAGGGGAAATTTAGACTGGACATAAGGAAGTTGTTTTTTTACAGTAAGGCTGGTGAGGTACTGGAACAGGCTGCCCAGTGAGGTGGTGGAAGCTCCATCCTTGGAGACATAATAGAACTGGAGTAGTTTATAGTACCATTACCTATTTCTTGCCTTATCAGAAAATCAGATTTCAGTATGTCTGGTATATCTTTCACTGGAATTCATTTTCACTTCAAAAAGATTAAGATTTCAGTGGAGCAAACTTAATAAAAAAATCAATAAAAATTTATCATCAGGAGTTGCAATCCATGTCCTAATGGCTAAAACCAAAATGCTGCTTCATACTTAGTTTCTCATAAACCAGCTAAAAACATAATGGTTCTTTATGCATACCTCTTGTGGCACATAAGAAAAACAAAATAAATACAGATATCTCAGAAAATCTTCGCTTTATTTTCCACGTTCATACTGTGAAAAATATTGCATACAGGGGATATTCAGATTAGTGGCCCTACATTTAAATATAATGATGTAAAATGTGTCTTTTGGCATATAAATGACAACTTTTATTCTAAGTAAATGAAACTCAGCAGGAATGGAATATTCTTCTGGAAATAAAATGACATTCATTGTCTGAATAATGTTTCAGAATGGAAATAAAAAACATGTAAAGCATTTCTGTGAGAAGTATATAACATATTGCTGAAAGTCATTTGGTATCCTGATTTATTGTTCTTCATTATTCTGTTGATATTCATAAATTAACTTTTTAACATAGAGTTTGGCCATGCCTGTTGTCTCTCTGCTACCTTTCAGTAAGTTTTATTTTCTAACTGTGCAAAACAGTTGATCGGGGTAACCTACCAGGTGGTTCTTTGTGTTTATAGAAGAATTAAGAATACTGCAGAATTGATTCAATCTCAGACAAAGGTAAAGATGTAAGGACAGTTGTACAGGAAAGCAAGTCCCTACAGCTGTTACATGTCTGTATTAAAAAAGAAACAACATACTTTTCAAGACATAAAAAAGACAAGTAAAACTTGTCTTGCAGAGAAAAAATGTCATATTGGG